ACTGGATGATTTTTAAAATCCCTTCCAACCCAAACCAATCTGGGATATTATGAATCTCCTTCAAAAAACAAATCCAGAAGAATTTGCATCCTTGTACTGATTTATTCTACTTCTCTTTTCCAGATATTTTCCTTCAGAGAAAAAAGAAAATTACATGAGAATGCACCTTGCAAAGCCTATTCTTAGTCATGTGAACTTTTTCAGACAATAAATTTCTTTTCTTGCAGCTCCCATTTTTACCTCTTGCAGGAGGCACTGACAGCTGGAAGCTAAAAAGGAGCACAACACCTTCTCATCCTCCTTTGCACTGCCACTATCCTGCAGATCCTTTTAATGAGAAGCCCATTACCTTGCCTGAGGTTCCCTGAACAATAAGGGGGAAAACCCTTCAAAAAGAAGCCCAAGACTCCCCTCCATCATTTCTGCATCCTAATGAGCAGCACAAATGGATCTTTAAGCAGTAAAACACAGCAGCCAATTTCCCAATGAATTCACAGTGGCTTTGAGGGATCACAGAGGCATCAAGTCCAACAGGTCTCCAGGTTCTCCCCTCATGCCCACAAAATGATCCTGCAGCAAATAAAGGTTTCTAAGCAGTGAATTCCAGAGGACAGAATGATGCTCTGTTCCATAAGAGGATTTTGCTCCCATGCTGAAATGCCAAAGCCCCACTGACACAGCAGAGTTCTCCAACCTTTCCACAATAATTAGAAACACAAACCACCCCCTGTCTTTAAGCAGAAAATGTGTGGTCAGAAAGCAGAGTGTGAGCAGCAGCAGAGGGAACGACTGCAGCCAGAGCTGCACTGCAGCTGCCCTGGCAGCATTTGTCACTGGTGGGGGACAGATCCACAGGCAGCTGTGATGTGGGCACTGACCTCAAACACCCACACCAGCTCTGCGGGTGGCTCTGTGCACAAACCTTCCCCAAACAAAGCACATTTCAGCTCAGGGCACACATGAGAGCCAAGGGAAACCCCACACTGAAATGCTTTGATTTGGGATAAACCTTTGTTCCTTTGCAAAGGTGAGAGCACAGAGGAGCTGCAGACAGAACCT